ACAGGATAAAAGATATTAAAAATATTAAGAGTAAACTCTGGTACTCACCGAGTGGTAGCAATATTCCACCAGACTTGACTGATCTCTTTATCAGTTAACGAGCGTCGGTTGTGAGCAATAAATGCTGCTGGATTCATTATCACTTCTTTAACATCGCTGTCTTCTCTACAAATTCTCCTTCGTTTAGCTGCACTTTTGAGTGGTCCATGAGTCGGATCAGTTCTCGTAGAACTCAAAACATTCATTTTATTGACGAGGGGTGTTCTTGAAGGTTCCATCGTAAATGGAGTGGACCTGAGATTATATTTATGTCCTTCTCTTACGGATCGCGTTGGCCTGTCTTCTTGTTGCAGTTCCTTAAAATCAGCTTTCATTTCATCTTTGTAAATAGTGATCGAATGCTTGTTTTCACTAGGTACTGTGTCGTTCTTGGCCTTCTCAGTTTTATGTTCTAGAACCTTTTCATTTCTCGGGGAGCGGCTTGCTTTAAACGGAAAATTGCGAACCTTGTCTGTAAACCGATATAGATGGTTGTTGTCTTCGAACATTCCATTATATTGCTTTCCGCGCGCATCCGTTATGATACCATTTTTTAAAAACTTTTGACACAGTTGCACAGCCTGTTGTCGAGTAACATCAGCTCCAAAGTTAGGATTCTCTTTCAGGAATCCATGAAGCCAATCTAAAGCCTCAGACGCCACAAACACATCTTCGAAGACTTTCATTCGCCATCTTCTTCTCTTTACAGGAACACTACTTTTCATCTGTTGTACAACCTCGTTCCACTATTCGAGAAAAAGAGGCATCAAAAAATTAAACCTCCAGAATTTCTTTTCCCATTTACCTTGGACTAGTCTGTGCCAAATTTCAAAGTTCAATGTAAGGGGAAATTATTAAGCTTAATTAATATATTTCAAACTTGTACATGTTAGACATCGACCCAAGGCAAGGGAAAGTCGCCGTCGTAGGAAATACTTACAAGTTTCGTCGCTGAAAATGGACCTCTGCTTAATTCACTGCCACTTGTTGTGTTGGTATTCATTCTTCACCACTCTAGAATCACATTGACATCAAAGAAACCCTTTCCTTGCCTTCAGAGGCGCAGAGAGTAAACAAGAGCGAGAAGCCATTTTGAAATCTGCTCCAAAACCTTATCTGTGCAGTGATTGGACAAG